AAAGAAATCTCAGAGCTCGAAGACCTAAACACCAGAACTAACCCCAAACTGTCATAAAGCATAGAAAAAGAAGCTCAAAAAAGACAGAACAAAAACCTGCAAGAGATGAATGATCACTTTCAAGAGACCAAACCTAAGAGTAATTGGGCTTCCTGAGGCAGAGAGAGAAACAGAAGTCACACTGGAACAAACATTTCATGAAATCATTCAAGAAAACTTCCCTTATCTCATTAAGGATGAAAAAATTCAAACACAAGAGATTCAGAGAACCCCTGCAAGACAACAAATGAGAAGACCAACTCCCAGACACATAATAATTCGCCTAAACAAAGTAGCTGTAAAAGGAAAAATCCTAAAGGCAGCAAGAGAAAAAGGCCAGACTACCTACCAGGGAAAACCAATTAGAATAGCAGCAGATTCATCCACAGAAACCCTTCAGGCCAGGAGAGCCTGGAGCCCTATCTTCAAAGTTCTAAAAGAGAAACAATTTCAACCAAGAATAACCTACCCAGCCAAACTAAGCTTCATTAGTGAGAGAGAATTGAAATCTTTTCCAGATATCCAATCCCTAAGAACCTACGCTGCCACCAGACCACCTCTACAAGAAACACTTAAGAAAGTACTGAACACAGAAGAAAAAGAAAAAAGAACAGCATTCCTCACAAGAGTACAGGCAAAAGATTAAAAACACACATGAACCAACTCCAAAACCCAAAGATAGACAACAAAGAAACAGGAACAACTCTGTAAGAACCTTATGACAGGGATCAACTCTTGCACTTCAATTATTAGCCTAAATGTGAACGGACTAAATGCACCACTGAAAAGACACAGAATGGCAAAATAGATAAAATATCATCAGGCAACAATCTATTGCCTTCAAGAGACTCACCTCACTAGAAAGGACACCCACAGACTCAAAGTAAGAGGATAGGAAACAAACTTTCAGACGAACGGAATACAAAAGAAAGGAGGAGTAGCGATCTTAATTTCAGACAAAATACCCTTCAAGCTATTAAAAATCAAAAAAGATACAGAAAGC